AAATGTAAAAATCAACAAGTATGCACTGAGCACTATATTAAACATTACAATGACTACTCCTTACTGATTTTTTTTTTTTTTTTTTTTAGGTTTCACTATTTCCTAAAACAGTTTTGCTCAGTGACTAGAACTGACTTCTTGGGTGCAACTAAGTGGGACTTTTAATCTGTGAGGAGTCAGGGTTGTATGTGGATTTTGCAGGGGATGGGTTTTGTGGTGGGGTTTTTTTGTTTGTTTTTTGAGGGCTTAAAGAGCCCCAGTCTAACCAGAGTAGAGTTCTCCCCTGAGCAGGCTTTTTGCTAGCTATTTTACACTGCCCTGCAATGCCCTTACTGCAAACGCTGGCATAAGGGATGTGTCCTGTCATAGGGGTGTGGTTTTAGTAGATGCTACTGCATTCATTCTGTGAGCCATAGGGCAGCTTCTTCATAATTTACAAGCACAACAAAAACTCTTACCCTTTGTGTTTCTCTTTAAAGTTGCTGTTGCGTTAAATCATTTTTACAATGCATCTTTACAACAAATATCTATTTGCTAAAATTATTTTCCTCCTCCTGAGTATTTTTTCTGTCATTCTGCTTCTTCTAGATCTAAGGAAAAATGAACACAAGCTAAATCATCATCAGCGAATTGGGCTAAAGTAAGACAGTTTCATTTTCATGGACATAGTTGCTTGGCTTCTGTAAAAATTCCTCCAGAGGCCAGTACATTCTTTAAGATTATAACAACCATAAGTAGCACACTTAATAGGTAAGATCCAGTTCCATCCCCTGTTCTGCCCTTTTTTCAGTTGCTCATAACTTACCCAAACAAATTTCTTTGGGGATGAAATTAGCTGTGCTTGGTCGCAGTCCAAAGATGCATTGTTTTAGAAAGGTTTAGTCAGCTCAGCCTATCCACTTTTGAGTTATTAAAGGTGGCGGAAAAAACAGGCTTTTCCTCTCAGGTTCTGATTTGAAATGTTGTGTCTAGATCACTGAGAGTCTAAATTCTAGAAAAATTGATGGTTTGGGTGCCTCTGACTGCTGGTTAAGGAAAGCTTTCTGTTTGCTGCTGCTAAGTCAATTCTTAAAGCCATGAAGTTCTTGTCCCCTTTGGAAGGCTGCGGAAGAAATTCTTGATACAGTATTCCTGTATGATAGCAGTACTTCCTCTCCCCTCTGATATCTGTTTTAATGGTGGTGAAAGAGAAGACCTGCGGTGATGGGAATTTATGAGGCGTTTGAGACTAGCAAAAGGAACCTGTGATCATTGGTTTGCTATCACTGTCTAGGTTATTAGTTTCTAATCAATTCTAATCAATCAGTTTAGTGTAAAATGTATGGAGTTTTATCTAATGTTTGCTTGGTTAAATTTTAAATGCACTGCCTTACTCATAGTCATTCGACTTCTTTTTTATTTGTACAGATATTTTGAAGACTTTGAGAAAAGAATCCCTAGAGAAGAGATGTTACAGATGCAGGTAAGATATAATCTTCCTCAACGAAGTAAGGCAATGAGAACAAATGAAGAAGGTGTTGTCAGTAGCTACCGGTGTGGTGCTCTGCTCTTGTTCGATGATAACAGTCGGCTGCGTGCGTGTTCCCTCTGTGTGCTGCCCCAGCTCTGCACAGATAGCTGACACAGCAGACCCCAAGAGAACCCCAATGACCACAGACTCTAATAAGGTACGAAGGAACCCGAGCCAGGTTTATTGTCAAACGAAGCACAGTAATAGTTTCCCGTATGTATGTCTACAAAACATACTATGAATTTGTGCCCCTTGGCAATGGACCAGCTCAGTCAGTGGCGGGACTTTCCACTGCCCCCTAGGCCAGTCAAAGATGCGCACTCCGGGACCTACTTTTATACAGTTACAGGACAGATTACTCATCCCTACTGACGTATTGAAGTACAGCCCCTTGACTCATTGGGGCCTGTCTCCTCCTTTGATCGTATTGTTTCTATCCACCATGCTGTCCTTTTGACCCTGTCTTTAAGATGCACTTGCTTCTAGCAGCCCTCTTCTTGCCAACTTCTGTGAGTGGGGCCTGCCTCTGGCTCATAGCCCAGCTTTTGCTTAGCAGTGCCTGGAAGTACTTTGCTTCAGGCCTCAGACTGAGCCTCTGACACAAGAGGTTATGTTTCAGGGCCTCATCTTACTACAGAGGGTAGCTCAAATGATTTGATCTTGCTCTCTTTTTTTTTTTCTCAACAGGAAATTGTATTGAAAGAGGTTAAGAAACTGGACCCCGAATATATTGCTACAGTCTGTGGCAGTTTCAGGCGAGGTTGGTACTGCACTGTGCCGTCACATTTACATCATGGTTCTAGAAGTCAAAACTTACTGACAAACATCTGAATTGTGGATCTTAAGATTGTTGTTTTTTAATTTGTACTGATGTGCATAGTCCTTAATGCAAAATCTGTTACACTGACCAGATGGAATAAACTTACTTCTTGCTTTTTGCTTAGACTGACTAATTCAGTTTGTACATATAAGGCTATGGGTGCGATATAAAAAGAAGCGGAGTAGGATGCTGCGAATTGTAAAACCAAAGAATAGTTTCCTTTAAATTTTCCTTCTCCTCAAAACTCTCGCATCTGCTCCAGAATTACTCTGAAGTTTTTCTTATTACTGATGTGCAGACATATAGCATAACAGAACCTTGCTAATTCACACAAATAACACCCATTGAAAATTACTTCCTATTTTGCAAATTTCAGTAAGTGAACCAACTCAATTAAAAAATCAAAGCTAAAATTTCATAAAATGTGACATGTTTACTTATTTTGGCATCTGTAGTTTAATCTTTTATGATTACTTCTACTAGTGTGTAGTATGAAGCATAAGAAACCTCACTACTTTAATCTATTGTTTGCTGAGCAGTGTGAGGTTAACTAATTTTTTGTGTGAATTATATGAGGTCCTCCAGCTTAAAAAATTAAAAACTTTATAAATGTCATTGTCCATAATCAGCCACTGTTCACGCCAGCAGTAAAAAGTCTAGCATTCGAATGAAGAAAGACTAATGAAGACTTGAGCATGTCATGTTCCCCAATTAAATTTTATTTTAAATATACCTATGCCAGACGTAGATTTACTACAAAATAGTTGTTAAGCAGTTTAGAAGTTGTTCTTATTCAAAATTGCATTTATTAAATAACAGTGATCTGTCTTTAAACACCATAACACTATATAAACATTAAGAATAAGAGGCACAGAGATGCTACTTTGCTGTGTGATCAAGAAGTCAAAGTACTAACTTGGCTGGTTGGCCTCTGTGGAGCAAGTCGGTGATCTCAGCTCAGTATCCAAGGAAAAGTATCCACATCACACAAGCTGCCACCAAAATTGGTACTAATTGGTAAATGCTTGACAGTTTCATCAGAGTCCCATGAAAATTAATCCACTTCTTAGCTCTGTTGGAGTCTCCTGTCATAGTCAACATATGAGAGTCAGTTTGTTTCAGTGCGTTGTCTTGCACAAACGTAAACTGATGAGGGATCCACAGATGCATCCACATGTTAAGCTGACATCGCTGCATGGTTTTGTTTTGTTTTGTTTTGTTTTTTTTACCAAAGCCTACTTTCTTTGCTCGTGTTTCCTTTTGACTTTTTCTCTTCTGCTATTCTCGATGGCTTTAATTGCAGACCAACAAGTCTGCCGCCATCCTAATTTCTCAGCACCAGCAACTTCCCATGTGTTCAGGTTGACGTGGCCAGCTTTTAAGTGAGCTTTCAGAGTGTCATGTCATTTTCATTGGCCCCCCAGCGTAGGTGCTCCTGATTTCAATGGTCCTTAAAATATGGCTTTGCGGAGTTGTGTAGCATCCATATGTACAAGGTGACCAGCCCAGCAAAATTGCGCCTGTCTGATTAGGAATTTAGTGCTAGTTATGTAGCACTGGTCCAGAACTTCAGTATTTGGTGTCCTGTCCAACCATTTGATTTTATAGTTGAGATGCATACAGCACATGTGAAAACTCTCTAGTTGCTTCAAGTGCCTGCTATAGTATGTCCATGTTTCACTCCTGTGGAGAAGAGTGCTTAACATAATTGCATGCTAGACAGTAATCTTGGTGTGAAGTCTAATGTCTCTCTCATTGCAAAGGTGGCAGCAAAGTCAACCATAGGCAGAACTGGCTCTAGAAATGCACTGCGTGATTTCATAGTCAATTGTGGCATTATCAGATGAAGTGTTGCCAAGATAGTAAAATTTTTCTACTACATTAAGCACTCTTGTCAGCAATTACTATTTCAGCGGCAAAATACATTTTTCTGGGAGCAGTCTGGTAAAGTACTTTGGTTTTCTTGAGGCAGATAGAGTCCAAATAGCTTTGCCGATCTAGAAAAGCCATCTATCGGATGCTGCATGTCTTGGACGGTATGTGCTGGGTGTTGGACAATCATCAGTGAAGAGGAACTCCCTAACGAACAAGTCGATTGCTTTAATGTGAGCACAAAGACACTGGAGATTGAAGATGCTGCGTAGTCTTGGAAAGAATCTAGCAGCATAGCACTAAGGACAATGGTAAATAGTGTAGGTGCAAGTGCACAGCCCTGCTTCATGCTGTTCGTGACAAAGGCTGTGATGAAGCACCATTTTCCAGCACTCTAGCCAGCATGAATGAGTGCATGATGGTTACAAATTTGTGTGGCCAGCTTAGGTCAAGATTCACCAGAGACCCTCCTGACTAAGTGTCAAAGGCCTTCATCAGGTCTACAATCACCGTATAGAGATCACAGTTTTGTTCCAAGCATTTTCACAAGCCGAAAAATCATGTCTGCTGTTCTGTGTCCCAAGCGAAAGCCATGCTGACTCTCTGAAATGTTATTGGTGATGTGGAAGAATCTGGGGAGCAAGACGCAAGCCAAAATCTTCCCAGCAATGGAAAAAATCAAGAAACCACGATGGTTGTTGCAGAGTACTCAATTACCTTTATTTGTATGTATGAACAACTGAAGCACCCTTGAAGTCTTGAGGCATGGTCTTCTGCTCCCAGATGTTGAAGAGCTGTGTAAGCATTTGAGATGTTTGATAACCACTATGCTTATAGATTTCTGGCAGCATTCTATCTAAGCCAGGCACCTTTCCTTGTGACAGTTGTTTTTTTGGCGGTTTCTGTCTCAGTAACACTGGCAGCCTAGTGAGTCCTTCATGTATTGGGAACCATGGTACACCATCGATAGCAGCTTTTGAAATTGCAGATGGATGATTAAGTAGACAAAGTGTTCAGCCCAGCGTTGGATGATGTCTGTCTTGTCTGTGTAGTATACTGCCATCTTCGCTATGGATGGGAATGCTGCCACAAGATAATGCATGTACAGTACTTGACTCATTGCATGAGGCACATAAAGCATGGTTATCTGTCAAGACTTCAATCACTAAGAAAGCCACCTGTCACAGCTCTAAACAATCTACTCTGTCTAAGCTGTGTAAAATAAAAAATGATTGGTGGAAGCACACAGCAGAAAATATTCAACAAGCTGTGGAACAGAAAGACCTTAAATGCTTTTACTATCAATTGAAAATGGTTTTTGGTCCCTTATGTAACTTCTTAGTATTAGCACATTAGGGTTGAGATAGTCAGGGCTGGCGCAATCCATTAGCAATCCCCGCGGTCGCCTAGGGCACTACAATTTGGGGGGCGGCGACCGCGGCGGTATTTCGGCAGCGGGACCTTCCGCCACCTCTCTGGGGGGAGGCATTTTGGGGCAGGACCTTTCGCCGCCTAGGGTGGCAGAAAAGCTGGCGACGCTCCTGGAGATAGTGTAGAGGCTGCCTTATTAATCATAAACTTAGAAATGTAGATTTGGAAGGGATCTTGAGAAGTCATTTAGTCAAGCTACTTGTGCTGTGGCAAGACCAAGTATATACTTGCACCATTCCTGACAGGTCTTTGTCTACCCTATTATTAAAAACCTTAATAACTATTCTGTGCTAGTTCTGCGGATAGAGGAGCTTCTCTTCTTTTCTTTAGCACTAAGATTCAAACACAACCCTCTATGGTCTGTTCTTAACTGATATCAAGACTTACAGCTTTTCTTCTTCACTCTTTGCTTTCTCAGGTGCGGAATCAAGTGGGGATATGGATATTCTCCTGACCCATCCAAGTTTCACTTCTGAATCAACCAAACAGGTGCCTGTCTTTCTCTATGCAACTTATTACTATTTAAAAGCTGAGTTTTATGAACTTTTATCAGCAAATCATAAAATCATAAATTCCTTTGCATTTGGGTTCATATTGCAGCTTTTTGCATTGATTCCTTGACACCATAATAACTTTTTATAGTTTATTAATAAATCCTGAATATTTGGGAATTAGCATTATATGGGGAATTATGCAAACTACCCTTCATGTGTTTGGATATGACACGTTTTAATCATTTTGTAGAAGTATTTTGCATAACTCTTATATATGCTAAAGAAATTTCACTCCTAATATATTGAACACAATGCATGCAGGCCTGGCTCAATAGCTAATGCTTTGCAATGCAGTGAGGAAGATAAAGCTTATTTCAGTCTCTTGCTCCTCAAGCCACCAGGGAATTAGTGCTTAGTCCCTGTGGTGAAAAGGGTGTAATCCCTTTTGCCTAATACTACAGAAGTGCTCGAAAATGCTGGTTGTTTGCAACTGGAAGGACAGTGGCCAGGACCATGGAGGGCACAGAGTAATCAGACAGCTGCTTGTTCAGTGTAATGTGCTTGGTATCTTTTTCTTGTTTATAAATTGAGTGTACTTTTCTGTAGCATTATATAGTGATCCTGATTTATATCACGACCAAAAAAAAAGGCCCTGCCTTCTTTGAGACCATATGCACTTTTGGCAAAAAACAGGCTTTTATTATCTTGTCACCAAAAATAGCTACTTTCAGGAGAGTCCCCCACACCTCCCAAAAAAAGCATTTGTGTTTTAAAATGGAAAAACGTTGTCTCACAAGACACTTAATGCATGCTTGACTATTGTATCTGAAGCTATGAGCCTCTTATGAGGCACACCAAAAATGTCATTAATTTACATACCAGTGTCATTACACTCTGTTCCAGAGTTCCTTTATTCTGCTGGCAAGCTATGCAATTAAAGTGGAAGTAATGGATTTGAAGTGTCTACCAGTAGCAAAGTCTTTATTTTATTTTTTATATATATATATATATATATATCAATGTCTCCCTCTTCCATTCATTATCACAGACACTGAGGGTGGAAACTCAGCAGTGGATGAGGGCAGACTTAAAGTAGTAGGGTGATCCTGTAATTTTGTGCTCCCAAATATTTTGTTTGAGTGTAACCTCAACTGTTTAGAATTTCCAGGATCACATTTTCTGAGGTGTCAATTGCATCATTCTCTTAAAGAGTTTTTCCTGTAGGCAATTGCATATATTTATACCGTTGACACACTTTAATCACTTTTTTTTTAAATAGGTCTTAAAGAGGAATGAGGTACCTTTTTGTATGGAGCGAACCAACAGAATAGGAAACTAATCTCCCACCGTATAGTATGCCACAGAACAACATTTAACCGTCACTGAAAGTTGGCAGCGCTATTCTTTAGTATTTACAAAAGAATATTTCTAGATTAAATCAAAGCAGATGCTAATGGACCTATGGAAACTAGCAAGCCACAAAAACAGAAGGTCATTAATTTAGAAATATAAGATTTTAAATTGTACAAGTTTTGTCAACTCTAATGAAAATACTTCAGTGCTCTTCTTTGTCTTGCAATACAATAGAGGTTTGAGAGAACAATTTTCCTTAACCAGATTCTCAAGTAGTGATTTATTTATGGTATGTAGTTTCTGCCAAAGTCTCGGAAAATATTTTTTCAGGACCAGATTCTATCATTGAGATCTCCTTGGTTTTCACAAGGACATATTGTACATCGGTGGGTCACGTTGCTGGTAAACAAACAGGTTCCTCTTTCTTAGTTAAGTAATGTTTCATTTCACTTTGTTTACTTTTGACATTAATTATTGTTTCCAGCCAAAGCTTTTGCACCAAGTTGTAGAACAATTGAAAAAAATCCACTTTGTCACAGACACATTGTCAAAGGGTGATACGAAATTCATGGTGAGTTTTCTTTGAATATTTCATGTAAAAGACAGTATCTCTGTGATTGATATACAAGAAATATGCTGCTTACTGTTACATATCTCTGATTAAAAAAGGAAAGTTTATGCAGTAACTCAGAGTAATAGTTTTTATCATATTAACTTCCTACAACAATCTGTCTGTTTGCAATAACCAAAGAAGCATTTTATCCTATTGTGTTTATATAAAAAACAAAAAAAAAGTCTCTCAGCTACATGTGTGGAAATGTTTGTAATGAACATTTTCCTTTTGTAGATTAATGTGCAGTTTTGCATTCTTTATATTGTAAAAAAACAAACAATACAAAAACAAGTAGTATGTAATTGAGTGAAAACTCTAAATCCTATCCCCAGGTGACTTACTATCAGAGTCCAGTATGTCATAATGTTCAACACATCTCCATCCACCCTACCAACTACTGTACTCGCTTTCTAATTCTTTTAATGCTTCCCCGCACTGGCCTACCCTTTCCCTTCTCATGCCCCACTACACACCTCTTTACTAACACATCTCTTAGGCCAGATTCTCAGACTCAATGTACACTCCCACTTTGTTGTCACTGCCTCTAGCCTATAATGCACTTTCAGCTCCTTCAGCCTACACTGGATGATGACCCTGAAATTTCTCGAATTCACAATTTGGTCTAGATAGCCATATATTCGATGTGAAACTCTCCAAGATTCAGGGGAACCATCTTCTGCTGTGATAATAGCCTCTGTTACTTGAAGATGTGAACTGCTCTGGTGTGAGTTTCTGTATCATCCAGAACTAATGGCATATGAGAAATTTTGTGGCTAAGCTCGAACATCTTTCTATTAATTTCACATCTAAATCAAAGTAAAGGAAAACACCTTCTCTCGGGCTTGACATTCAGAAATAGGGCATTCCTCTGAAAAATTACATCTGAAGTCAACCATCAGGTATTGTAGAACAGAACATGAAAGGAATCTTTGACCCCAGAATAGCTGTGAGGGTTTATGACCAGTCTTACATTTCATTGTAATGTACCTTATCGGGGGACAGACCTTTAAGCTAAGCTCTCTTCTTTGTGTGGAAGAACAAGCTGAAGTCGTCTTTTTCAAAAGAGAAGTTGTTTTTGTTTTGGTTTTTTGGGGGTTTTTTTTTTTGAGTATTGAGTGAGTGCTATGATGTTTCACTTCCACCTGGAGTTTTGTCTATACAGGCTCCAAATACCTTGTTCTTAAAGACCGATGAAAAGTTAATCCCAACAGATGGGTAAAACCATAAGCCACAGTTATGACTGGACTGAAGACAGTAATTGATTAGTTCCATTCAATCTTTGATATTAGCTTGATGATAATCTTCAGAAGCCAGAGATTTGTGGGACTGGTGTTGCTGGGCATGCTGTGGGAATCCACTTTTTGCTAAATGATCACCATTAAGTTTATACTAAACCATTATATTCAGATAAACCACAGAAAAGAATGTAAAATATGAACCAGCTCCTACACAGTAACTGTTTCAAGTGGATATAAATATCTATTCTTGAAATTTATGAGACTGTTAGAGGGAAAGGTATTATCAGGTGGTTCCGTATATTTTCACTTGAAGTAAAGGGGATGAGAATCAGAAATGGATTTCTGTGCTCACCTCAGTTAAACTGTGTACAGTTTCTTGTGAAATTAAACTCGTTTTTCCTGGCGTTTCTTAGAAGGATAAAATCAGTGAAGTTGTTACACTCCGTGCTCCTGGGACAAAAACAAAATATAAAGAGTAAAATTAAATTGAACTTCATCCCAACACTCTGGGCTATTCCCAGTTGCTAATTTAATAGAATGGCTCTTATTGATGAAGAATATATGCAGGATAGCTGCTTGATTGCCCCAGACTATGTAGTGCATATGTTTATGTACTTGTGTGAGGCTTTCAAGTAGCAAAAGGAGGAGAGGGAGGACTTTGTGGCTTTCACTGATCTGCTGTGGCTGATATTTAGAAGGGCCTTTAAGTAATTAGCAGAAGCTGCAGGGATCCATCCAAAGCAGTGACCACTGATAACCCACCAGCTGGTTATTTTATCCAATGTTCGTTCTTGGGATAAGCTCTTTGTAATGGAATCAGATCTATGCCAGAAACTGGTCACACTGGGATTTATGTCTGGCCAAACTAAAAAGAATTCTGTAGAGTAGCAGTGAATTGTCTGGTGTCTCACTCTGACCTAGGATATTTCCGTTTTCTGTCCTCTTAGCCCCAGAGCTCCTCTGATCAGAAATATTTCTATTTTCTGCTAAGGACACTGTGTGATAGGAAACAAAGTGGTAACATTTTTGACTATAGTATTTTCATTTTCTTGTGTCTCCACTACACGTTCTATTCTTTATTTTTTTAAAAAGACACAATTCACTGATTTTTTTGGTGCATCTCCCTTTCAAAGCTATTAAATAAGTGATAGTGGATTTGAGATGAAATTCAGTTTCTGTAGCAGTAACTGCTACTTCACCTTGGCCAGCCCTTCTGATATTAGTACCAACTTGCTCTGAATTTAAATCTTGACCAATAGCTTTTCCAATCTACAAGTCTATAAGAATGTGACATTTTACTGCCTGTGTTCTGTGTAAAACAGTCATTACTGGAGAGGACACTGTTGATGTGTCAGGGTAGAATAAGTAGAAATGGCAGGCAGTGTTGAAATCTTGGGAAAGTAAGCCGAATCAGGACTGCAGCTGAAGTTAGAAATGTCGCAGAGTGAAGACAACAGAGTGTATAAAAGAACCCATAACACGTTCCAAAAGGATACAGAATTGTTGAGCTTTCAGAACAAACGTAATCAGGGAAGGAAGGGAAAAACTTAGTGTAGCTGGAATACATTTCTACAAGGTTTTTCAGGTTTCCTGTGTAAACAGCTCTGATCATTCATCGCAACTCCTCTTCTCCCTCATCCCCTGTCATCCCAGACAGTTATCAACTACACATAACATAAAGATTGAAGGTGAATTAAATGGATTATACAGTGATTCTTTCTGTAAGAGCCTTTCTGCTTTTTTTAAATGTCAGAAAATACCTTTCTGTTCTGACTTGCATTGGCCTCAATTTTTATCCATGCTTTTCCCCTGCTTTTCTGTTTAGCTGTAATTTTCCATTCGTGACCATGCATTCTCAGCATATTTATAATTGCAAAAGTAGAGGCCTGGAAGTTGGGACTCTGGAGTTCTATTTGTGCCTCAGCTTCCCAACCTCAAAACAGTTAATTACCTACTCTGTAGGGAGGTGGTGTATTTTGATTTTTTTTTCTCAAATCTTGTGTTCTTTAGTTGAAAGGTGGCATAGAGGTACACATTATTCTGCTCCTTCTGTTTTAGCTGCTGTGTTAGGGGATTATGTCAGTTGCTACTCAGTTATGGAATTGACATGTCTATGTCCCTGAAGCAGGGAGAGATAGTTGAGATGTCCTTTTGAGTCCTTCACTTAACTATATTCTAGCTGATTGTGTGCCTTTAGGAAAGGAAGAGGGATTCCTTATGTTTAGTAGCTCTCCAGTTTAGTATCAAAAAAAGTTCATGCTATCTGGGGAAAAGGGCCTGGTTTGTGTAAAAAGTTTGAGACACCAGGCTAGTTTCAGCCTTGAGTGTTGTGATACTTGCAGAGTTTAGATTTATTTATTATTTAGGAGGTTTTTAATAAGTTTACAAATCTTTGCCAAGTGAGTATCAGAAACGCAATAAATATTACAAGTTAGCTTTTGTTTAAAGAGACATTATACAGGAATATTGTCATCAGATCTTTATATTTAACATATTATAGAGTGATTATAATTAAAATCCCTATGTTGTTTCTAGTGGTCTTACTAAAGTGAGTGATATCTCAATATACACAGTTACCAGACCTAGCTAATCTGATGTATAATATTCAAAAAAATTGGACAGGTATATTGGGTTTTTTGCAGGTGAATGTATTTTTTCTGAATATTAAAGGTAACCAAATATCTAACTATCTATTTGTCCTCTGTCTATTTTGATGGGTACGTAACTGATGTGTTAATTTTTCTATAACAACCACCATCTATATATAAATATAATAATTTTAACCAATCCTCTACGGTTGGGCTATTTTTCTTTTTTCAATGTGAGGCTGCAATCAGCCAGGCAGCTATAAGCAGATGAGATTAATTCTTCATTTCCATTTTTTGTGATCATTTCCATTAGAAAGCCTTCAGAGGATTAGCAAAGGATCATGTGGTAATAATATCCAGCAATTTGTGATATTTGGTTACTGATCGCATACTAATACTCTCTGACTGGACATGTCCACCATATAGGCAAAAAATAATCCTCTTTCACCACAATTTCTCCAACATTTATCCCCATTCAATCTATATTTTTTAACCTGACTGGTGTGAGGTACCACTGAAACAGTATCTTAAAGAAGTTTTATTTTATTGTGCTGCATACTGAAGTTGTTGGTACTCTTTTCCAGATCAGACCCCATTCTTCTGGGGTAATTTGTCTACCCACATCCTTTTCTCAGTGTCATATATAGACACTATTTTGTTAGGAAAGCTGTCTGCAAAGATTAATATAAATTAGTTATATTTTTTGTTTTGTTTACAGGTTGCCATCACTTCCATTATAATTAGCTTTCTGTTTAGAAAGGTTTCAGAGTGGTAACCGTGTTAGTCTGTATCAGCAAAAACAACAGAGTCCTCTCTAAGGTGCCACAAGGACTCTTTGTTCATTTTGTATAGCAAGGATTGTCTAGAAAGTTTAGAAACATTAATGCCTGAGTTGAGAGTACGGGTACCAGGACAGAGTGGGTCAGTTAAATTTAGTTTTGATAGCTAAATAAGCTAAAAAAGTTTCTTGACTGAATAGCTGCCTAGCCGTGTATGTGTATTCCATTGCTCTCCCAATGTTTGAAGCTCTCTGGTTTGCAATTTGGATTAAAATCTGGACTGTTTGCAGTGGGTGTCACTGGCAAGGGAGAAGAGCTTATTTTCTCTCTCGTTCTATCCAAAAGCCATAGCGTTCTGCCTTTGCTAAAGGATGTCATTTTCTGGAGGGTGTGATTTTTATTAATCATGGTAGCATAGCAGTGTGTACACTGCTGCAATATTCTTGTTCATTAAAGACCCAGTGTTTCACTGGGTAAATGCACCCCCAGTCCACTACTATTTTGAGTTGGTTGGCTTGATAGTGTCATAGACTATTTGGAACAACCAGTCCCCTCTGATGGGTCTGTACAAAGTTACTGGTCTCACCCTTGGTATTTTTGTATTCCATATAAATTCTAACAACGTCCTCTGTATTCCTATAAGTGTTTTCTAAAGGTAAGTGATAGTAATGAGTCCTAGAATGAATGTTATCCTGGAAACAAAAAAAAGCTTTACTACATTAGCAATGGTCCATGGCTTTGCTGCTCAAGTTTATGGTAAAGATGTGTGTGAGGGTGGGCAAGTGTCTGCATTGGTTTGTGAAAGTGGCACATGAGGTGTTCGGCTATGTGTGCTTGAGGTTGTTGTGCTGAGTATGTCTGAGGGTGTTGTTGGGAGATTCTGTGCTGATATGTGAGAGTAACATTTGAGGGGTGTGTGCTGCGGTGAGTGGCTGTGTGTGTTTGGGATATTTTGTGTCACATTGATATGGCAGGCAGTTGAGCCAAGTAATCCACTATCAGTGCAGTCTCCCTCATAAAACCAATGAAATTGTTTCACCCAAATTAGCTGTAGAGTTAGGATGGTGATATCACAATGGTCTGGGACTTTTGGCATGGCATAGATACATGCCTTACTGTAGCTATACACCCACAGGTGTAATTCATGGGGTCACAATGGCTTAATATCAACATTTCTGTAATACTGTACAAATATTAGTTTATGCATATTTAACCCTGCTTTTCAAATTGATCCTGATCTCTGGCATGCTTTAGTTTTAATACGTGCAGTAACTTCTGTAACTCTCTAAATGCAACCTTGTACTTGATAAGTCCAAGGGATAGAAGCAAGGTGCCAGCTATACAGTACTACAAAATGCTGGCATCTGATGCTTTATCTGTTGTCCTAATCGTTCTACTTTTTCCTCTTGGATTTTCTCTTATTCTTATGTTTCTTTAGAAATCCTCATGGTTATTAACAAGGGGAAAGCATAAGCCCAAACAAGCAAGTTTAATAAGCAAACCTTTTATTCACCTCTCAGACTACATGCCTGTGCATGATCACATAACTAGACAGACTCCACGGTTGCGTTTTAAAACTATTTTAGTGTTTTTTCTCTTTTAAAAGAAAAAAAAAAGCCCAAGACAATTTAAAACTCTTATAACTTTATAATTTCTGCTTTCCTTGTGTCCTTTTAGGGTGTATGTCAGTTGCCAAGCGAAGAAGATGGAACCAATTATCCATACAGGAGAATTGATATCAGGTAAAATTTAAATGGAATAGGCCTGCACTCCTAGGGTAGAACAGGCATTTGTTAAAGCATCATCCAAAATGGGGACATTTGTCATGATTCCACCTCCTCGTGTGTATCATACAGAACAGGACTGCACAGCCCACACAACTTCATGATAGGGCATTTATGAAAGTGCTATGTCCCAATCCCTGACTGCAAAGCAAGTCCCCCTTCTCCTGATTCCAAAACTAGGATCTTCATTGCTATCCTTCCCCTCCAGCAATTACTGAACAGGGAGGTTTGTCAGGGTACTGTGCCTTAACCGCTCAGTAGTAGTTTAAGGGCAAGAGTTGTTGCACCACCCTTTCCTTTTGTACGTGCCTGTAGGATGATGGATTTTTAGGAATATTGCAATCTCTCTGGTGGTGATCTAAGAATAGTTTAGAGTCCTGTAATGTGGTGCCAGTAGAGCATTGGGTTTTGCTGTAAATGGTAATAAGATTAGAGAAACTGTGCCTCAAGTGAATTCCAACTGACTTGGAACTGAGATTTTGTTTTTTGGTTCTTTTACTCTAGGCTGATCCCCAAGGATCAATATTATTGTGGGGTACTGTACTTCACAGGCAGTGACATATTCAATAAGAACATGAGAACTCATGCCCTGGAAATGGGTTTCACAATCAACGAGTACACAATCCGGCCCTTGGGAGTTACTGGTGAGTTTGGTCTCTACGCAAAGTGCTCTTTCCGGTCTCTCTTGTTGTGATGCTCCCCAGGGGTATTCAGGGTTGTGAGGCACTTCACTGCCTGCCCTTCGTGTGAAAGGGTCTTGTCTGTGCCTGCTGTAGCTCAGCTCCCTGAAACCAAACCCCTCTGGCTACACAAAGACTGCTTTCGAGGCCTCCACAGATCTTTTTGTGCAGGCTAATAATAAGTACACACCAACCCTCAGAGTCCTCGGCCCGCACCTTGCAGTGTCCCACTCCTGTCACTGAATGCTCACAGAAATTAGTAGATTGGCTCTCCCCCAGGGAACAGTGTACACACATTTGTTTGATTCAACTGAGAGTCAGCTCCTATATAACATTACAGCGCTGAGATATACTTATAATGAAAACAATCATAAGTTTATTATTAGAAGCTAAGATTTAAGAGATAGTAAGGATAACAATGGAAGCAGAAATGGTTATATATAAAACACGCTTCCTAGAGTTAGAGGTTTTAGTCTATTAAAGTAGTTTATCTCACCTAAAGCAGTCTCCCAGCATCTCCAACCAACATGGCTGAGATCCCCCTTTCATGAATGCAAAAAGCACTGTCCTTTTTGGTTCCTCAGTGGAGGATAAAGAGGTGTTCTTTTCCTTATAGCCCCCCAAATTAATTGTTTTGTCCCCAGAATCAGGATGACCCCCTGTAATTTAGTCTCTCGTGTCTTCCCATCCCCATTTACTCCATGTACAGATTTGGCTTCCATTATATTGGCTTACAATGATTAATTTACATAGCCAACAATGTGACACATGAAGAGGTTTCCTTTGTGTGACTCAAAACCTGTTTGTCAACTCCAGCTTGGGAGACAGTCTTCTTAAAACATATTTTCAGAACACATATATAACTCCTGAAATATCGTCCGTACATAGATTTTTGCAACACTTCTGAGGATCGGTATGACACGCTTTTATTAGATACCTCACTTGACACTTTTTGAATATAGTCTACGAAAGCAATGTGGTGGGTCTAGTGAGTATGTCAGGGCTGCCAGGAGTTGTTACAGAACAGTGAATCCTTTGCCAGTTGGCATTGATGGGTTGTTAGGTTCTCAGGACAAGTGTGAACCTTTCTTCTCCAAACAGACCTATACGCACATAATAGTATTTCAGGATGTTTCAAGGGCTACTGCCAAATACTACAGTTAAATGTAGCACGCTATTCTCTCTGACTTCAGAGACCTACCTAGTATCAGGAGGCAGCTTTCTTCTCTCCCGCACACAAGATATCCCCCCTCTGGGTCTGCCTGATGCAGCTCAATGGAATTTTGCCATTGATTTCAATGAGAACAAGACCTGGTCTATTTGTGCCACACAGGGCAGGCATCTGTTTTCCAGCACTATAACAAGACTGTAGCTTTCTGTTGGTTTGGGATGGGCATACTGTCTAATTTTAACTGATGGTGTATATTTATAAAGCTGTGTCAAGAGCTAGAGTTCTAGGATTGACACTCTGAGGTTGAGATACAAAGTTGCTGCATTTACAGTGATACATTCAACACCTTGTGACATATTGATCCGTTTTTTTTCATAAAAGATCTAGTTTTTAGACCTTATCTAACTACTAACCAGACTCCTATTTTCCTTTTCATTCATTTATGCAGCTTCTTGGTTTTCAGACATCAGCCTGTTTTTTCTAGATAAACCTATCCTTGCTTTATAAAATGGTGTCTGCACAGCACTGCTACTCATAATGCCTTGCAAAGTTGCTGTCCTTCACCCGTCTGTCATCTTTGTGTTTGCAGGAGTTGCTGGGGAGTCCCTCCCAGTAGAGAGTGAAAAGGATATCTTTGACTACATACAGTGGAAGTATCGAGAGCCAAAAGAACGGAGTGAATAACTTGCATTCGTAGGTTCACTAGCTAGTGCTCACTTATTTTGCAGCTTTTATGAATAATCATCGGAATCAAATCTAGGTGCATATTTATTGCTTGAACATTACTTCAGAAGGTGTGTATTACTGACACTGTTTTTAAACAATAGTTCCATGGCACTAGAGTAAAATGTGTTATAAAAATTAAATCACGTAACATTGCAACTTGATTACTTTCCTTTTATTCAAAAATATCTTTAATACAGACATGGTTTTTATCTGAATTTTACTTAGGCCCTTTGCTAAGGTGCTAAGATAAGTCTGCAGGGAAAATGAGGAACCAAGCAGCTACCTCACGATAAAATTTCTCATAGATTAAATTGGGAATTGGTCCAGATTTTGTGTTCTAATAATAAATTATAGTCTGCCTTTTTCTCCCTGGGATACTAGATATCTGTGTTTTAGAAAGCACAGTTTTTGTTTTATTACTTTCCCCTACAATTTCCGTGGAAAAATGTGGCTGCTCAACAAAGACAGTTACTATTAATGTATTCAATGGTGGCTTCTAAATGAAGATATTGTATTTGTTTTTCATAAAAGTCAATGTACTTGTCATAAATTATATTTAAAATATTCACCATGGGAATAGATTTATGGGTGGCCAAGTTAGTAGGTGCAAAATAATGAATTAAATAGCCCCTCTCGTCTCTGACAGTAACAGCATTAGTCCATGGTATCACTCTCTCCGCATAAAGAAAATTGCATTTTAATTTTGATACATTTCCCTGAAGTGCTGCAAGCCAGAGGTCAAATCTGCAGACTTCACAACCATAATAAACTTTAAAAATCTGGAAACCGTATCAGATGTCTGTTAAAACATGTTGGAAATGCTCAGCACAAACTCCGCTATTTATTATTAAATATAACAGATGAGCAATTGCATAAGGAAACAGTTTGGTTTAATAGCTATTTACTGTATGTTAGGATCATAGCACTTAGGGAAAGGAATTAGCAGATAATCAAGTCCATTCCTATAGGTCTTCACCTCCTGCCCTGAACTATAATTGTGTACTGTAAACTGGCTGCACATTTCATCTCAATGGTGACTGTTTAAGTGGCAGGTGAAATTTTATATTTTTAATTATACAGCCAGTAAATATGTTGGCAGACAGAGCACTTTGGAGTCTTTTAGATGAGAGGTTTTATGACAGGTTTTGCATTGATAGCAATTAGAAGGTGTCTATCACTGTGGTATCTAAATACTATGTAGAGAGAATGAAAAAAATATTCACATAGTACAGGCTAGGTGCAGTTTAAGTTGCAATATAACTTTCATTATAACCCCCAGTTTTTACTTATTCACCACTTTCACAAATTCCCATTGATGGTCTTAATGATTGTTTCCCTATGTGCAGTATCTTAGGTGTCTACTGCCTTTTGCCCTAGATAAAGCTTGTTCTCATCTCTGTGCTGCTCTATGTAAATAGTTTATGAAGCACTTTTTGATGGTATCTGACATTTACATGTGATTCCGTCATTGCGTCTGAGATGGAGCCAGAAGTGGAAACAGCTTTCTTCTGTGGCTCTGAACATCCTGGAAACACTTGGGAAATAATTTGACCCTATTGACAAGTAAATTGCAATTCCTGTGAAAGAATCTACTAGTTCCTTTAGTAATTTTTTTATTTTAGTAAATAACTAAATAGTTGGAAACCAGCTGGAGAACCTCTGAATTTTTATACATGCTACAGCTATGATAGCTATAAAAAAGGACCCTAGATAGTTGGTAAAAGCAGACAAAAAATCAAGCCCTTTTGTACTTCATGCTATCTGAAAGCATAAGCGATTTTTGTAAGCGTCTGATGGCTCCTTAGTGCAGCCCACAAGGATACAACAGAGCCCATATGAATGAAATGTACATCTAAGGTTGCCCAGTGCCCAGATCTCGCTTTGATCTGGATGTTTTCTCCAGTGCAGGGTTCTGTTGGCCTGTGGAAGGTTAGGGATAATTGTATAGAAGCTTGCATAAATTAACTCTGGAGTAGACAGCAAATTCCTTGTTCTCCCTCTGGATCCAGTGTTTATTGGCTCTTTAGCTTCTTTGGCAGATGTTTAAGCGAGATCGTGGCAGCCCAGTGAGCGGTGGTCGGCAAGACAAACCAGGGCCACAATCACAGCGTTGGAAAATTTCTGGACCTTGAGCAACATCTTTGTGTCCCCGGCGGGAACAGACCAGTCCTTCACGGAGAACTGGCTTACAGATTTTGGTCCAGAAATGGCGAGCGCAGCAAAGCCCAAAGGCACAATCTGATGTGCGAAGGCAGCTTTCTCCCTCTTGACCTGCAGTAAGCAGAATAAAATGTATAACATACCCCATGTCTTTGAGGTTCTTGGCTTGAGCGGTGGGTACTGAGTCAACAGCTCAGAGAAAAATTGCTGACCACAAAACTGAGGATTGCTAGCAGAGGGGTGGGACTCACTTCAGACCAGTCCTGATCTCCCCCATTGTGGAAAGCCCTTTGTCCTCCCCTGCAAAGACTTCTAGCTGATCTTCTGGCTTAAAAATCAGCAGTCATGCTAATGGTTAAACATCAGTCATAACTCTGGACAAGGCTTGCAAGAATCTTTCTTCATATGAGGATTATTTTTCCAAATGAAAAAGATCTTTTGGGCTCCTATTCGCTCCCAGTTTTACCATTTTGAAATCTATCTGCTTTATTCACAAAAGAAGTTAGCAGCTAGTGTGGTGCCCATGGAACATTACCAACTGATAATGGCAACTACAACTACTACTACAGTTTTTCTTTTTCTTAAAAAAAAAAAAAGTTGCATTGTCTTTAGATTCTATAGACAGGTTATGTGTACAATCATAGGACTGGAAGGGACCTTGAGAGGTCATTTAGTCCAGTCCCCTGCACTCATGGCAGGACTAAGTATTATTTAGACCATCCCTGACAGGTGTTTGTCTAACCTGCTCTTAAAAATCTCTAATGTTGGAGATTCGACAACCTCCCTAGACAATTTATTCCAGTGCTTAACCACCCTGACAGTAAGTTTTTCCTCATGTCTAATCTAAACTTCCCTTGCTTCAATTTAAGCCCATTGCTTCTTGTCCTATCCTCAGAGGTTAAGGAGAATAATTTTTCTCCATGTTCCTTGTAACAACCTTTTTACGTACTTGAAAACTGTTATCCTGTCCCCCCTCTGTCTTCTCTTCTCCAAACCAAGCAAACCCAATTTTTTTCAGACTTCCCTCATAGTGATGTTTTCTAGACCTTTAACCATTTTTGCTGATTTTCTCTGGCGTTTCTCCAATTTGTCCTCATCTTTCTTGAAATGTGGTGCCCAGAACTGGACACACTACTCCAGTTGATGCCTAATTAGAGTGGAAGAATTACTTCTCATGTCTCGCTTACAAAGGCAAGAATGTATTGGAGTCACCTTATCCTCCCTTTCCCGAGTCCTCTTTTTGCATATACCTGCTTGTGATTTTCTCTTAAATTGTAAGTTCCTTGAGAAAAAGATTGTTTCCTCTCTGTGACCCCATTCCTACAACCATTTAAGCACATGCATAAGTGTTTGCAATTTCAGACCTAGCATATGCAAATATAGTACAAATAATTAATAATAGTAATAGTTCTTTTGAGTTTTTTGAATAACTGAGCTCTTGAGACCTTATTGCCCTCTGCTGCTTTGGTTCTGTTTGATCCTTTTTCTAATAATGTCAGTTTCCCTAGGTTAATGTTGTTTTTTGAATCTTAATTTTTGTATTCCCTGACTTATTTGTTACATATTTAATTCCTTCCATTTAGAGATACTCATATTACGTTACCTGTAAAATGGGGATACTGATACTGACCTTTATTAAGCGCTTTGAAATCTGATGAAAAGCGCTACATAAGAGCTAGGTATTATCTATTATTAAATACAAACAATGTGCTCTCTTACAGTTGTTCGCATTTTGTTTGCACTAGACACAATATGAAGACAGCCCCAAATAGTGGTATCCCAACATGAACTTGCATCCTGCAAGTAATCTGTGTTAGGAAATTGACACATAAGAAACTAATCTAACAATGTTTATTTCTGAGCAAGTACTAGCACTCTCAATTTAAATAAATGGAGAACAGCACATTGAATGTTTTTAACAAAGCCTGATCTCTTCCCACTGCTTTGCTAGTTTGCTAGCCATTAACTAGCAAAGTTGGTTTCTGACTTTTATGAAAGGTGATTTGTGATGAGCACAGTGTAAATTGCTAAGTAGATCCAGATTCCATGCTGCACTTAGTGCAGCCAGAGATGGGGGAGTTGTACTTCAGCTTTGTGGCGCCTGGATTCTAGAACTGTTTGGGAGCCCAAAGGCTGCAATGATTTAAACCTGGCTGTCACTGGCTCAAAAGGTGGCTGGAAGCCGGGAATAGCCTTGGAATAAGGACCCTCCAGCTGTGCCCCCTATGCCAATGGCACGGTGGCAGAGAGCTGCTTTTCCTGATGAACAGGGAATTTCCAGATAACAGCCAAAAGGCTGGCTTAATCAAGTTTTGCATCACCTGAGCAGGGTCCAGAATCTAGTCAAAATATTCCTAGTGAGTAGAGAGACAAGGTGGGTGAGGTAATATCTTTTATTGGACCAACCTCTGTTGGTGAGAGAGACAAGCTTTCGAGCTTCCACAGAGCTTGAATATAAAAGGTGTTACCTCACCCACCTTGTGACTCTAATATCCTGGGACCGCTGTGGCTGCAACACTGTATCCAAACCTAGTAAGTAACAGTTTATATTTTTACAGAAAAGGTTTTATGGGGATTATTGTTCTCTGCATTTGTCTTAACATAATTCCTGACAATTTAATATTCAAAACACCTAATTCTGTGATTGGCATTATTATAATTTCCATGTAGGAAATAATGCGGTTATCCTCAGTGCATAATTTTAAAGCACATTGGGACCAATCTGTTCATTTTCTTTATGCAATAGAATGGTAGGGGTCTCCTCCTTTTCCTAATGGAAGATAACATACACACGCCTCCATATAATTTTACTTTTCTAATCTGGAATATATTTCTCCTCCAAGATTGAATATAATTACCGGTATTTCTCTGCTTTTAGGCCCATTTTACCTTTATTGCTTGGAGATTTGACAAGTTCTTTTTTAGAGTTGTTTTCTTGGATCTGGTGTTGAGTTGTCCCTTTTGAATCAGAACCATCCTGTTCATCAGTCCTT